CATCAGATCTCCTTACTCCAGCTGCCAGATTTTTTTCAGAAAACTCTGTGGTTTGTGTTGCTCTTATTACCCCCTGGAAAAGGGTCCCTAGCTGTCCCCAAACTCGTCAGGGTGCTGGAAAAGTTTGACTTTGAAAAGTGATGTAAAAAAAAGAAAAAAGTTGGCGTTAGCTAAGGAACCTCAGTGGGAACTTTAATTCATTCGTGGGTAAAGAAAAAAGTGTCTCTTATCACTCTCTGATAGAAGATTGGCAATATAAAATAAATCTTTGGTTAGCAAAAGCAACAAAATATTCCTACTGCCATCAATTGTCTTCAGAGCAGCAAAAGGACAATATTAGGGTACTAAGATGTTACAAGCTGAACCAATGAGACAAGCTGTACGTGTCAATGTCAGTAAACCCAGTCACAAACAGTCTCATGGAGGTCTTAATCAGTAGTTCTCTGCAGGTACTTAAATCCCTTATCTGGAGCACATGGCACATAGTAGGTGCTCAAAACATATCAAGGCTCCATTCAGTAGTACCTCCCTACTAACCCATGGTAATGCACCTTCTTTTGACTGCCTGCAGCCCGAGCTAATTATACACCAACCTTTAGTGTCTGTAAATAATTTTTGTGGGAGGCTTATCTATCCAGACAACTCAAAGTTGTCTTAGTTTCCATTTCCCACATTGCACCAAGAGGTCCTTGTACCCATAGTGGGTTCTCAAGAAAACATCACGATTCTTGTCTATCTTGACTCTTGAGGGCTCCATTGAATCTTTCTGCTTCTAAGGTATTCCCCTCTCTCTTAAGTCCAGAGCTGAAAGCCATCCCTTGCTCATACAGCAAGGAGTCTAGATGAGCTATCTATATTCCAGGATTGGAGTAAAAGCATGTTTACGTGTGGTAAAACGATTAGGTTAATGGCTAAAAGGGATGTACACGACGTCTCATTTCTATGGTTAACCCTGATTCTCATTCCTAAGAGACAAAAATCCTGCATCTTGTATTAATTACACCTCAATCAACAAAAAGAATCCTCTATCTTTCCACAGACAGGACACAAAGCGTTGAGTTTGCTGGAGGACAGGAAGTCCCCTCTCTATCTCTAGCTCTCTCAGGATCAGCCTCAACCTCAGGCCACACTTTAACGAAGGAACAGCCCTGAGACCTATTCATCCCTTTCTTCAGCCCAGGACCAGCCTTCCCCCCAGCTGCCTCCCATCTTCCTCCATTCCTTGCAGCCCTCACTCTACTTCTTTGTCCTGGAAGCCTTCCTGTTTCATTCTTGCGCTTACCGAGCACCTCACCAGTGGCTAGAAACTATGGCTACAGAGGTGAACGGACAGGCTCCCCACTGCCCTGAGGAAGGAACCCAAACTGAAAACAACCAACTCTAATGTATGGCCAAAAAAAAAACCAGACGTGTTGCCGTCAAGTCTATTTCAACTCATGGCGACCACACGTGTTAAAGAGTAAAACTGCTCTATAGGGTTTTCTTGGCTGTAATCTTTATTGAAGCAGATGGCCAGGACCTTCTTCCACAGCACCACTGGGTAGATTCGAACTGCCAACCTTTAGGTTAGTAGTCGAGTGTGTGTGGCGGAATGAAACAAATGCCATGAAAGGCTCAAGCACAGTAATGTGGCACACTGGAGTGGGGAGGTGGCAGGAAGAAGCTTGAGAGAAGGTGGCATTTGAGCTGGAAGGAGGTAAGTGAAGAAAAGTCAGGCAGAGTGTTAGGGCCACAAAACAGGCAAGAGCAAAAGAACATAGTGTGAACGGGGATGATATTTAGAAGAATGGTGATTCAAGGCTTTGGAGACTGAAAAGATGGAGAAGAGGAGGCTGGGAGAGGCAGGAGCAGAGGCCATTTAGTAGCCGACGTCTTACAAGGCTTCTGAAAAGATCCAAACTGATTCCAGAAAGAGACTGGAAAAGGGAAACCTGTCAGAAGGTCTCTGAGACAACCCAGGGACCAGTGGACAAGAGTATAGCAATCTGAAAGGAAAGTCAGTGAAGATGAGTCCAGGGGGCCTAGCCAGAACGGCCAGAGGGTACTGGTGCCATTAATCCAACCAAGAGGGGAGCTAGTTCCTTTTCTGGACGTACGTGCTAGGAGGGGCTGCTGCCGGCATCCATGAGTGGACTCAGACACAGATTGTGATGAAGCTCACTAATGCTCCAAAGAGGCAGGCAAGCATGTGGTCAAGGGCATGGCGCCCTGGAGCCTAACTGCATGGCTTCACTTCTCACCTCTTACAAAATAGCTAGTGACCCTAGCCAGGTTACTCAACCTCTCCATGCCTCAGTTTCCTCACCTGTAAAACAGGGATAATAATTATACCTACCTCATAGTGTTGCTGTGAATGTTAATGAGCTAATCTATGTAAAAGGCTTAGAATAGTGTCTGGTACATCCAGCTGTTGTTGACTCCAACTCATGGCGACCCATGTGTGTCAGAGTAGAACCGTGCTCCATAGGGTTTTCAATGGCTGTGACCTTTTGGAAGGTGATCATCGGAACTTTCTCCCAAAGCACCTCTGGGTAGACTTGAACTCCCAATCTTTCAGTTAGCAGCTGAGCATGTTAACCATTTGTACCACCCAGGGACGCCTGGTACATAGTAGATGCTGCTTGTGTTTGCTCAAGTTACAGCGTCAACAGGCAAAAGGGAACAAATAGCCCTTACTCTCATCCTACTGGCACGAAACGACAGGCTTGTCCATCAGGAGACAAGTGATCCTGATGGGGTTAAGCCTTCCATGCCCTCAGACTGCAACCCAGAACGTATAAGATAATGTCATCACAAGGGGATTTCAGTAGAGTCCAAATCAAGGCCTTTTTAAAAGACTAAA